TCAGCACTTAATTTTACATTACAGTCTCCTTTTCTTAAGCCCCTTTTAAAATCAGGGAAATTATTTCTCGGTATCTAACAACTGTGGGGCTTGAAATACTATATGGGATCATGAGATGGATAAAAGACGGAGGAAGTCTCTTCAGAGATCGCATCTCCTCTTTCAGGACACTCACTTCTAAAAGTCTCTAAGGAGAGAGTCTACACATTCACAACGTGTGACAGACACAGCAGAAGTCGTCCTCGATCTCCCTGACAGCAGCAGAAGCTCTTTCCTTCCATCTTTAAGGAAACAGGAAGATGGCCTACGTATCACCCTTTGTATCATCATCTTTCAGGTTTTTTATTGGAAATCACACTACTCAGTTCTCACTCTCATTAACTCTTGCTTAATTTACTGACTCCACAAAATAACACTTTTAAAGAAAACATAGTTATTTGGTCTCTGTATGAAAAGGACTTTCTGAGCATAAAAGCAACGAGTCAAAAATAAAAAGGTTAATAGGTAGACAACATAATATTGTTTTAAATTCTCTAAGTCAAAAACATTATAAATTAAATGAAAAAGGCCATTGTGGGGACATGCCCCCATATGATAAGCAAGGGTTAATATCCTGACTCTATCAAGAATTCACACAAATCAGTGTCTGGCCAAGTCAGCACCCCCAGTCTTCCCCTCCTTGCTTATACAGAAACAGTGCAAGGTTCCTACAAAAAAAAAAAGAGGTTACTTTCTGCAGGTTTCAGAAGTTCACTCTTGCCTCCCCTGCGTTGGTCTTTGCCTCCTACCTGGATACCCTCTTTCTTCCAAGTCCAGTTAGACTGAAGATTCAGATACACAGACAGCCTGGTCTTTATTTCAGATTTTCCCCAAGATACAGACGGAAACACTTTCTACATGGCTCTGTAGCCTGCAGGCAAGTAACAACTCGCCCTGGGCTCCAGGGATACCTGATTCAACGAATTCCAGCCAAAGCCCAGTACACTGGGCTGGGAGAGGCAGAAATCAAACAATTAAGCAATAGATAAGAAAAAAAATGAGACTCCAATATAAAAAGCATCATAGAGTTTATGCAGGTAATTCACAGAAGAGAAATATCTAATAGCTAACAACAAGGTTTTTTTATGCTGAAATACATTAATAATGAAAGATGTGAGTTAAAATAAGGAGGTACTATTTTTATCTGTGATATTAACAAAGATTTTAAAAAATAATAATGATCATACTGGTGTCATAAAAGTGATGGCGGGATGGTAAGCTAGTATAATCTTTCTGAAGATGGCAATGTGTTCAAGAGCATTCACAATGAGCCTGACTTTCGACCCTGTAATTGCATTTTTTTAAATCAGTCACTAAAATAACAGTATCATATTTAATTAATTGTTTCACAATTATAAGCTCATAGAAGCCTCATGACAGTCTGTCAGATAGGTTGAGATATCCTCACTTTGCATGTGACCAGACTGAAGTTAAAACTTGTCATAGCAGCCAAGCCAGGTCTTCTGTCACCTGGTTCCAACCAGTGCTCTTTCTACTGTCTCTTTTGTGGAAAAAAGTGGAAAGTCATTTTTTTCATTTTAACATCATTTATGTAGCTGGTGATGGGGTTCTTTTCCATTACATCAAATGAAGTGTTATAGACAATTTTGCCTAAAACCTCACCCTTTAGGTTCTTCCCCAGGAATTCCATCACTTTTCTTTTTTGAGAATATTACAGATGTCCCCCATTTCTCCCAACCACCTGGCTCCCCGCCACCAACACCTCAGGCCTTTACCTCACTACTGTCTGTGTCCATGGGCTATGCATATCCTATATAATAAAAACCTAATATGCTAAGTGTCCGGTCATCCAGTCATCTGTTCAACCAATCAAAGTGTAATATGCTAATGATATGCTAAGGCCGCTCAATTGCTTGCTATGATATGTACTGACCACCAGGGGGCAGATGCTCCGACCAGTAGGTTAGCTTGCTGCTGGTATCTGGCCGATCAGGACTAAGACGAGCCAGACATGCCCTGGAGCCCTCCCGTGGTCCCTCCCCAGCTGGCCAACCTCCCGTATCCCTCCCCGGCCCCAATCATGCACCAGTGGGGTCCCTCAGCCTGGCCTGCGCCCTCTCGCAATCCAGGACCCCTCAGGGGATGTCAGAGAGCCGGTTTTGGCCCAATTCCGCAGGCCAGGCCAAGGGACCCCACTGATGCATGAATTTGTGCACCGGGCCTCTGGTATGCATATAAGTTCTTTGGTTCATCTCTTCCTGTCCCCCCACCTCCCTTCCCCCTTGAAATCTGTCAGTCTGTTCCATGCATCCATGTCTCTGGTTCTATTTTGTTCATCAGTTTGTTTTGCTCATTAGATTCCACATATATGTAAGATCATGTGATGTTTGTCTTTCTCTGACTGGTTTATTTCACTTATCATAATAGTCTTCAGGTCCATCCATGCTGTCTCAAAGGGTAAGAACTCCTCCTTTTTTTATAGCTGCATAGTATTCCATTGTATAAATGTACCACAGCTTTTTTATCCATTCATCTACTGATGGGCACTTTGGCTGTTTCCAGATCTTAACTATTGTAAATAATGCTGCTATGAACATAAGGATGCATATATTCTTTCTGATTGGTGTTTCGGGATTTAAAATATATTCCCAGAAGTAGGATTGTTGGGGCAAATGGTGGTTCCATATTTAATTTTTTGAGGATATTCTATACTGTTTTCCATAGTGGAAAACATTCCCACCAGCAGTGTACTAGGGTTCCCTTTTCTCCACATCCTCGCCAGTACTTGTTTTGTTGATTTTATTAGTGGTAGCCATTCCGGCAGGTGTGAGATGATACCTCATTGTAGTTTTGTCATTTCATTTTTAGGAAATGATCTTCAGTAATCAAAAATCCAGTCAAAAGTATGAAGATATTCATCTCGACATTTTGTACTTGAGATATAAATACCCAACAATGAATAAATTGCAAATAAATTTTGGTTCATCCACAATGTGGATTATTATGAAGCCACTAAAAACGATGCAGTAAGTGCTGACCCCTCCATAGCACTAAAGACCACTCACTGTCCTAGGTCAGTGATTTTCAACCTTTTTCATCGCATGGCACACATAAACCAGTTACTAAAATTCTGCAACACACACAAAAATATATTATCTTTTTTGCAGATCTGACAAAAAATAGGCATATGTGTCATTCACACTGGGTGGCTATGATTGTGTTGGCTGTTATTTTTTTATATGACAATCTAAGGAAAAAGAGGTCAGTGCCCCTGACTAAATAGTCAGGTATTTCACGTTTTAAAAATTCTTGCGGCAAACCAGTTGAAAATCGCTGGTTTAAGGTGATAGTGGTAGGGGCAGAAATAAGTGAATGAATTTGAGATTGGTTTGAAGATAAAATGAATAGATCTTGGTGATGATTTGGATATGGAAGGAGAGGGAATGGCAGGTGAAGGATGAGTTCAAGACTTCTGGCTTACAATCTAGACCAGTTGTTCTCAACCTTCCTAATGCCGCGGCCCTTTAATACATTTCCTCTTGTTGTGGTGACCCCCAACCATAAAATTATTTTCGTTGCTACTTCATAACTGTAATTTTGTTACTGTTATGAATCATAATGTAAATATCTGATATGCAGGATGTATTTTCATTGTTACAAATTGAACATAATTAAAACATAGTGATTAATCACAAAAACAATATGTAACTATCTATGTGTTTTCCGATGGTCTTAGGCGACCCCTGTGAAAGGGTTGTTCGACCCCCAAAGGGGTCGCGACCCACAGGTTGAGAACCGCTGATCTAGACAGATGATGGAATGATTCATTGAGACAGGAACAGGAGAGATTTACATGAGCCAGAAATTTAAATGTATGGGACATCTGCATACCGGTTGTAATTTGAAGCATGGACTTGGAAGCGTGTATAAAACAAGGAGAGAAAGCTTAGGTTCAAAACTCGTTTCTTTCCATTCTCAGAGCCTTCCGCCAGTGCATGGCCACCCTGTTTTCTGATTGGATACTGGGGCTGTTTGGTGGTCAGACAAAAAAGCAGGTCCTCCTTAGCTGGGGAGGTGAGACCAGGAGTATCAAACCACCTGTCGCATGCAAATCCCTTACAACAGTGGTTCTCAACCTTGGCTGCACATTAGAATCACCTGGGGAATCTTTTTAAAATCCTGATTTCTGGGCCCCACCCTCCGGAAATTCGGTTTCTTTGTTATGGGGTGGGGCCACAACATTAGTAACAAAGAAACAATTTCCGGAGGATGAGGCCCAGAAATCAGGATTTTAAAAAGATTCCCAGGTGATTCTAATGTGCAGCCAAGGTTGAGAACCACTGCCTTACAAGGAACTCTCAATGGTTTTACATTTACTGTTCACAAAGGAGTTTCACCTGCGGGCTCCTTCAAACCCACAATTTTATGAGAAATTATCTAAACTGAGGCAGAGTGCTTAAATCACCTGTCCACTAGCCAGTCAGGGTGGTCTTATGCCACCCTATGGACTGCTATGTGCAGCCACTGTGGGCAAAGGGCTGTAAGAAAGAGCTACCATTTTATGAGGCCCAACTACGTCTCAGGTCTAGGAGATTTAAAAAGATAGACATGGAAGAGGGGGGGGGCAATTTCAGAACTTTTAGATGGGTTACTTTTCCCAAATCGCACTTACCCCATGGTAAGTTGGCTTTAAACTTTCAAAAAGGTTCAGGTCCCAAGATGGAGTGGAGGTGAGAGGTGGAGATGAACGAGGGCAGCCAGGGACCACCCCAAACACCGGACCCAGGGCAAACGGGGTCCCAACGGCTGGGCCCCAGCTGACGCTCGGAGGGGACCTCGGCCGCCTCCCTCGGCGGCGGGGCGGCCAGCCCACCCCGCAGCTGGAGGCCCGGCGGCCGGTTTGCCAGCGCGTTGCTATAGCAACGGCCGCGTCCGCCTGCAGCCCGGGACCCGCTCCCATTCCCGCGGAGCCCGCCCTGCGCGGCGCCGCCAGCGGCCACTCACCCGGCGGCGAGGGAGTCGGTGTCGGACGCGCGCACACGCTGGGCGCTGGCGGCCGCCGAGCCCCGAGCCCGGAATGCCGCACCGGGAGCAGCTTTGGGGCCGCGGAACAGCCGCAGGAGGGCGGACGGGGGCCGCGCGAGGACAAAGCTCCTTCCCCCGCCGTTCCCAGGAGCCCCGTGCCGGCTGCCTCCTCCGGCGACTCCCGAAAGCAGCTCCCGGTAGGGACGCACCTGAGAATCCTGACCCTGGGACAGGGAAGCAGCCATGTTACACGAAATTAAAACTTCCCAACAGTGACACCACAGGACGAAGGTGATGGCCCGGCCAACACTGTCCGCCAGAGGCCTGGCCGTCCCGCCAGTTGGACCTTGCATTGCAATGGGTTCAGAACCAGCCTGAAAAGACATGATATCAGGGTTGAGGGGAGCCGGGGAGGGAGGGTGTTTGTCCCCACCGAGGGGCTGTAAAGGCTCTGGACAGACCAAATGGCAATTCCCAGAAATACATTTTAGCCACAAACCTAGAACCGCATGAGTGCACGCGCCCTATAGCCTCCCGCTGCATGCTGATGCGTTTCTTGACCTGAACTAGCAATGACTTCTGTGGACGGGGCCCTGCTGTCCAGCAGCTGTGGGGAAGAAATTCAACTCTCCTAATATTAGCCTAATTATTTGAAACTGATGTCCTCTAAAATCTGATTGAGAGCCAATAACTTGGTACAGCAGTTCTATTCATGTTATTGCTTGGATACAGGGGCACAGTTGGCAACTGGTTCACCCTGTCAAGTTCATCTGAAAACTCAAAATGGCCATGGTGGGCAACTGGAAATGCAAACTTTTGCAAATTTTCCAAGCACAAATAATCCCCATTATGTCCTGTACCATAGAACTTTGGGATCTTGGCCAGTTTTTTTTTTTTTTTTTTTTTCTGGAGAAATACAGAACTATTGTCTAAAAGGGTCTGGAATAGCCTACAAGAATTTTTTGTGCTCCCCCCAAACCTGCCCTCATCCAAGCATGAGTACCACTATGTCCAACAGAAGGAAATAAACTACCATCTGCTTAATTCAATGGTGTATAGATCTGCCTTTAACCAGCAGCTGTGAATGAAGCCTTACATTCCGGATCTTACCAAGAAATAGCTTTGAACTGTCCACTTCCTAATGCCCATCAAAAGCCTAGTTGAGAGAAACTGCAGTTTTGGAGAATTGTTTGAAAGGCATGCAGATGACCCCTCATCTATATACGGTCTCTGGGTCAATGAATCCGAAACCTGGCTACCTATCAGAGGCATCTGGGGAGTTCTGTTTGTCTTGCTTTATTTTGTGTTGAGATACAGATTAACGGGTAGCACTCCCAGAAACTGATTAAATAGATCCTATTAAATCATTTTTAAACAGTTTTCAAGCAAGTTTGATACAAAGCCAGGTCGGAAACCACTGGTCTACGTTTTATTCTGAAGTAAGCCAGTCTGTCAAAAAGCTGTGCGCTTGTACCACTTTGTCTTCACCCTTGCAAAATGCCTGTCATGCTTTACACTTATGCTATCTGTTTATGCTTAAAACATATGACATTGGTTTTTTTCTAAATATGTTTTATTAATTTTAGAGAGAGAAGAAGGGAGAGGAATAAAGATAGAAACAGCGATGAGAAACATCAATTGGCTGCCCCCTGCACGCCCCCTAGTGGGGATCAAGCCCGAAACCCTGGGCATGTGCCCTGACCAGTGACCTCCTGGTTCAGCCGTGGGCAAACTACGGCCCGAGGGCCGGATCCGGCCCGTTTGAAATGAATAAAACTAAAAAAAAAAAAGACCGTACCCTTTTATGTAATGATGTTTACTTTGAATTTATATTAGTTCACACAAACACTCCATCCATGCTTTTGTTCCGGCCCTCCGGTCCAGTTTAAGAACCCATTGTGGCCCTCGAGTCAAAAAGTTTGCCCACCCCTGTCTGGTTCATGGGTTGATGCTCAACCACTAAACCACACCAGCTGGGCAAAAGATTGTAATTAAAAAAAAATAAAACTCTGTACTTACTAGAGCAGGGGTTCTCAACCTAGAGCAGCGGTTCTCAACCTGTGGGTCGTGACCCCTTTGGCGGTCGAACGACCCTTTCATAGGATTTACATTATGATTCATAACAGTAGCAACATTACAGTTATGAAGTAGCAACGAAAATAATTTTATGGTTGGGTCACAACGAAAATAATTTTATGGTTGGGCCAGAAGGTTGAGAACCACTGTACTAGAAGGATTAAGAATGATGCTTATTACATCTCTGTAGTAGAATCCTACCAGATTGCCCAGCCCAGGGTTTTTCAAACTTTTGGACCATAATCCACCAAAATAAATATGTTTTACATTATGACCCAGTACACATATACCTATGCATTTAATAACTGAAGCAAGTTTTATAAAATATTATCCATCCCACATGCTATGCATTCCAGTACTTTTTATTTCTTTTTCATGCTGGTTTCCACCTTTTACATGGTTTCTTGATCCCTGGATGAATGATGAGTTGCATTTTAAAAACAGAAGTATAGTTAGGAGGCTTTTTCTGGAAACTAGGCCTGGATCCTCAGATAAAGTAGCTAGGCCATCTGGCTACAGTCAATTGCTCCAATAGCAAGTACCTGACTCACACCAAGTTGATCATATTCCTCTCCCAGGAATATGGAATTAGGACTGAGAGATTTCCATTTTTCTCTAGGTAGCAAACATATTAGCATAGATCATCGCAACATAGTCAGAAGCTGTTCACAGACATGTTTTCCTACCGTGTGGCCTGGAGAAATGTAGAAAGCCAATCTGCAGGGGAAATGTGAAAAGAACAGGAAGGATTCACAGAGAGGAAAGAAGAGACAAAAAGAGTTCTGACAGCTCTCCAACCCTGATCATCGTATTTCCTGAAATGAGCTGCATTCCTGCCTTTGAATTCCATGTAATATTTCAAATCTTTATAATAAAGTGCCCTCTTCTGTGTAAGCTAGTTCAAGTGGCTGAGTTACTGTTATTGCAACCAAAATGAGTTTAACTATATTGGTTTTATATGGCTGCAATAACAGATTACCTCCTGACTATACTGCTGCTTTTAAATTTGGTGACTAATATAATCACTCTACGTCCCTTACAGGAAGGTCCATGTAAGAAATGTATTTCAATCCTGAGTGCCGGAAAAAAATACTTTTCCCTTCAATACCCGACACCTCTTTTCCTTAAGAAAAAAGCAAATCATGAAATTCATCAATTTTCCCTTTTCATCTTGGCTTCCAGGAAGAAAGGAACCAAATTTGCATCTCAACTTTAATAACTTTGTCAAACTCTGTGGCTTGTATACAGGCATTACAACTTTCTCCTGTTCTCTTCTATTTCCCCCTCATTTCTACTTTTATCCTGTTGTATGTTTTTCATTGTGTATTTTAAGATGCTTCAAATATTTTGCACTTACTGTTTCACCTGCCTGTAAGGCTTTGCCCCTATACCTGCACAAGGCTGGTTCCTTTTCATTACTCAGATCTCAGCTCACTTGTCACCTCCTCAGAGAAGCCTTCCCTGATCACTGCATCTAATGTAGTCCCACCCCACAGTCTATCACAGTACCCTCCTTTGTTGTCTTAGAGCACTTAAAACCATCTAAAATAATCATTTTATTTTTAAATATATATATTTTTTATTGATTTCAGAGAGGAGGGGAGAGGGAGAGATAGAAACATCAATAATGGGAGAGAATCACTGATCAGCTGCCTCCTGCACTCACCACACTAGGATCAAGCCCACAACCCAGGCATGTGCCCTGACCATGAATCCAGCCATGACCTCCTGGTTCTTAGGTCGATGCTCAACCACTAAGCCACACCAGTCCAGGCAACAATCTTATTTTCTTTCTTCCCTCATCAGAAGTTAAACTCTAAGACAATAGGGACCCAATCTGTTTATTGCTTGTCCCCAGTGCCTGGCACTTAGTAGCTATTTAATAAAAATCATGGCATTAGTAAATGAAAGAATGAATGAGAGAGAGAGAGAGAGAGAGAGAGAGAGAGAGAGAGAGAGAGAGAGAGGAAAAGGAGGGAAGGGAGGGAAGGGAGGGAGAAAGGGATATTTTGTAGAACATGGTGAGCCCTGGCTAGTGTGGGTCACTGGTTGGAGAATCATTCCATACACTAAAATGTTGCCAGTTCGATTCCTGGTCAGGGCACATAACAGGTTGTGGGTTCAATCACAGGTCAGTTCTCTCTCCCTCCCTCCCTCCCTCCCTCCCTCCTTCTTTCCCTCTTCTTTTCTCTTTCTTTCTCTCTCGAATCAATAAAAGCATGTACTTTGACGAGGATTTTTTTTAATTATAGGACATGGTGAGATATAGATGGATAGATAAATAGGTGGCTAGGTAGAATGTCACTGACACTTATAAAGAGAAATCAGAGAAAGTACACAAAGGGGTAAAACACAACTCCCTAAAATATGTATATAGAGGAACTGGATTTTCTTGGGGAACTCTTGATGTAAAAGCCTTAGACAAAACTTTTTTTTAAGTTTTCAAGTGGCTCAAGTATTAAATATTGTGGCTAGTTACCATAGCTGAAGCCATCAATTCTCAGTGAGATAATGGATTGCAACACCATGACCACTAACATGACAAACTCTTGATACTGACAAGGGAACTCAGTCTATTGCAGGGGTCATTAATACAACAATCACTCATTCTATTCCTGTAATATTAATGTCACCACTGGCAACAAATGTTATATGCTGTTGACTTAAATACTCTATGGTAACGTCATTGTTACAATGCAATATCAAGTTGCTTGACAGTTAAGGAAGAAAGATCAGAATTGAGATTTGTCAATATAACAAACATAGAAGCAATTAGTACAGTTTGTTCCAGGGTTTATGGACCCTGTTGGTAAAATACCAAAGTTTGGGGGGGGGGGGGAGGATGGACCTCCATTTTTTTAAGTCCAGAAACAGTTGATTTATGCATTAAAATTTACCTCTGTTATTCAAAAGATTTTTAAGAGACTCCACATCACAAAAAGCCACCCCATAATTTTTCTGTTCTATAAGATAAATTCAGAGATGTTTAGATCACGTGTCATGTTAAGATTATTTTTAACGGGGACATGTCTGAAAAGTATATAATGCAAAATGTAACTTTTTCCTAATGATATCTCTCCTTGATTACTGGCAGGTTTACCAATTTATGCAAGTCTTTCTATTGTTCTATTCTCCTACCTTGACAAAAATAAAACTGTACCTTATGCCCATGGCTCAAAATGAAGTAAACATCTGGCAATTAATTCTGTTTGTCTGATCAACTCTGAATGTCTGACCCAGCCTTGTTGTCAGATAAAACTAATTAGAAGTCAGGTTAGTGCACACACACCAGAATTAA